CAGATGTCATCCAAAAGCAAGAGAACTTGTCTGTGATCCCTGATCCCTCGTGGTGTGCAGCTGGAGACCAGGCCGGAGGATGCCCCTGAAGGGGTCTGTGCTGCTGAGCTCTTGCACCAGCACCCTGTAGTACAGAGCCTGGRCAGGAAGAATGAGGAACTGGCTCTGATTTCCCCAGGAAATCTGCAGCTCCTGGGCTGGTGGAGGGGGTGACACGAGCTGATGTAGGATGCAGCACATCCCCACCAGCATCRTTCCAACCCACTCCAAATTTTGCCCTGCAAGGATCAGACAACACAGTCCAGACATCTCTGGAAGTGCAGAGATTGGGCTAAGGAAAAATCCCCAGGAATGCATACCCTGCTGACTTACCCAGCACTGGAAAATAAACAGCAAAAATTAAAACTCCAGGAGCTCTTTTGTGCAGCAGAGACCTTGTCCAGACAAGCAGAGCTGATTCATCTCCTGAAGCACACAGACAGTGCAGTCAGTGATGTCCTCACCCCAGAAAGGGTTCAAACACAGGTGACCCGAGGTGCAGTGCAGGTGAAATCAGAGGGATTGGAGATGTGCTGAGCATCATGAGCAGCTCCAGCTCTGGAGTTCTGCTCCCAGCCACAGCAGAGACTGTCACTGCTAAGGGCTGGAGGTCAGACATGAATAATCCTCCTCCCAAAYCTCCCACAGGCCACCTTCCAAGCACCTTGCTTAAGGCTAGTGTGGAACAAGTTGGGTAGGAGTGAATAAAAACATCAGGAAAAGAGCCACACTCAGGTAAGCAACTGAGTTATCAGCTCAGTAGAAGATAGGAATGATGTCTAACAGCATAATCAGTCCTGATGATTTTACTCAGAATTTTAACCAWTTTTTTTGTCTTTTCATGCAGAGAAAACACCTGGTATCACCAGTGCAGATCCTGCTGTTGTTTAGCTTTTTGTTTAGCTTTTAATTCATCTTTACTCGCTTTACAGTTTGTGGTGCTGCTGGGATGAGAGTCCTGCCACAGTAGGAATGAGTCCGTACTGAACACAGATTGAAGGCACAGCCTGGGGACTCCTGATTCTCTTGGTGGAACTCAGCTGCAAGGGAGAAACACTTCTTTTTCCACACCTAAATCCACAGAAAGGATGTAGGACATCTCAGAATCATAGAATCYTAGGCTGGAAAAATACTTAAGGTCATTGAGTCCAGCTGCTAACCCAGCACTGCCAAGTCCATYACTTAAATCACATCMCTAAGTGCCACATTACATGTCTCTTAAAGACCYCCAGGGATGGTGACTCCACACTGCCCTGGGCAGCCTGTTCCAGTGCTTGACAAGCCTTAAGGARAAGAAATTTTGCCTAATATCCAATCTAAACTTCCTCTGGCACAACTTGAGGCTGTTYCCTCACACCCTAACTGAAAACAGCACACAGCTCAAGGTTTGAACCCCACCCTATGTGAACCAAAGACATCCATCAGTGCTTAAGGTGAGAAACACCAAGACTTCAGGATTTTTCCCATCAATCAAGTAGATTGGAAGTAGACCCTGAAGTCAGCAATGCACAGTTACCTCAGCATCCTCACACCCACAATTCATTGGCATGGGAAGGACCATTCTCCTGGAAGGTGCAGCCAGGTAATGGATGCCTGAATGCAAATTTATGAGGTTGACAGAACAAGCAGCCTCACACAGGAGCTGGTGAACAAGTCTTTCCCATTGGATCTGCAGTGGGATTTGGGGAAAGAACAGCTGCATTTGTCTGCCTGCTCCTTGGGCATGTTCCACCTGCTTAATTGAAGGCAGGTCCAAGTGAGCCATCTGTTGACCTGGTTGAGGAATCAGAGCTTCCCACTAATTTAAAGATATTTTTTGCAGGTTATTAAAGGCCTAGAAGAAAAGGAGAGATGGATAAAAAAAACAACAGTAAGAAGCTT